CTTTACTACTGACGCGAATATGCACTCCGAGACCGGTGATTTACAAAACCGTGTAATGGAGTTAACAACGGGGACGCGAAAGATGCATGGATAAGCTCGATATAACCTCGAGTACTGCACTGCAACACACTTCCGTAATTCGGCAATACACAACACAGTCACGAATGACTTTTAATTTTACAAACCTGTTCAGATCCCCATGGATCTACCATGTGCCCGTAAGAGTGTGCGCACAGCTTGCATGATGAAGCTTTGCTGTCTTTGAGGACGTTGAGAAACACGCAAAACTACATCACACCTCCATTTTCCCATCTTTGCTGTTTACGCTAGTCAGGTAAATGAGATCTGGACAAAAATTTTCATAATAATTATCCTGTGGCGATAAAACCTACTGACTCTTCGCATTCTCTCACAATAATTAATTTACGAAGGTAGCGCATCTGAACGGAGAATAACATAGGCAGAGTACACATATTGTTCTACAAGCGCGCACTTCAACTGATCAGGTATTTCATACCAGCTCATAATGCTACTCAACAACTCTAATCGATTTCTGCGGCTACAGTAACATCACATCCTTTGTACATATTTTCTTGATGTCCCGGCTAAGTAGGTATGTGTTACCATGGGTGCAGACATAAAACAAAGCCGAAACGCTAGCTTAGCTACCGCCATCACATCGCCCTGGAGATCAATTTAGGCTTGACTACATTACTCATCTCATTTGAAGCACATCAGCACCGGGATGCATGTGGTTTGGAATGTCAGGCGTAAAATACAGTTGCTTTTGTTTTGTTTCTTGTTTGATCCTTTATTTGGATTGCTTTTGCATGACAGCCGTCACCACCAGTGGCTTAGGAATGATTGCCGGCAGCAGTGTGAGCTCTTCCGCTTCATTGACGAATTTAGAAATGGGAGTGTCATCGTTTTTCGGTGTTTCTGACATGGTGTGATAGTGGCTTGGTTGCATTTATCTACGTCGATGCGCTCGCTGCGCTACCTTTTCGAGCCTTCCTGCTCAATTTCATGGGTTTCCTTAGGCGCCTCTCTATATGCAGTAATTCCACTCTCTGTCATGGGGACCGGCCAGTCAACTCTCTACTGAGAATGAAAGGAAAGAAACTCTTCCAATATATTTTTCGCTGGCTCTTATGCATATGAATCGAACGGCAAGCCAAGCGAAGTGATTTAAAAGAAAATGGAAAACAGCAATACAACCGTCACGGTCAAATCAGGGCTCGCACGTGCCCGAGCACTTCTCTATGAAGCGTCGTCTAAGAATCATTTGGAGTGGAGCTGAATGGGCGCGTGATTTAATCATAAACGGATAGCGAAAAGCACGTGTTGCTCGCTTGAAGGAACGATATTCGGTCAACTTCAGGTATTGCGTCAAGTGGTGGAGGCCAGAAATGCGATGCTTGCAATAACAAGAGCCAGTCTAACATATGATGTTCCAAAATCCACTCGATGTCCCGTCTCTAGCGCATCTGCTACAACCGAACTGTTACTTGGCCGGCCAAGAGGGCTTGTGCTCAGACATCCCCAGCTGTTTCGTCCTTCTTCCCATTTTGCTTGCCCCACATGAAAAAATGAGCTGAAAGGCACATTTGGGGTTGCTCTGATGAGAAAGTTTGTCTCTGCTCGTTTGTCTTGGACATTTGACAGAGTTTATCTTCTGTTTTGCTACAAGAACTCGTTTGGAAAGCCACGGTCCTGTAAACCGCTAAAGAGGTTTCTCTCATGCAAGTCTTTTATAGAGACCTTTGAATACTCTCAACGAGTTGCCACCTAAGGGAAATATTCAGAAAGGCTAACTTTCCCTCACGTTCTGTTCCATGTGCGATTCGATTTAATAATCCGACCCGCCCAGCTGGAGCTTGGTCTCTCTCTCTCTATCTGCTGACCTTATGCCCTCAGCTTTGAGTGCAAAAATGTGCCTTCCTGCCGTCCTGGAGTTGTTCGGCTGGATGAGCGCTCTTCAGTGTTACCGAAGGGCGCTGACGAATAGCGTTTCTCTGTTTTGTCTAATTTGATTAGACCAACTTGGTAACAAGAGTATGATCCGAATGACTAGGGTCAATGCGTCGCTGTATGTTTGGTCGAAAACTTACCCAAAGGCGATGGCTCAAACCAACTACGATACCCGATTCAGTAATATCGCAGTGTCTAACCTCAGCAATTTCGGCTAATTAGGGGATGCATTAATCACATCTCCATATCGCACCAAGTTCTCAAGCGGCGCTACGCACACCGCAACCGACAGCGATGATTTCTCCCAAATTCAACTAGGTCTTTGGCTACGCAGATAGTTCATCCCTTCTGCATATACCTGAACGGAGGTTATTGCCTCTGAACATCTCCATATAATGGTGTATGTCGGACCGCCTCAACGTTTCCCCACACCAAGCAAGGTTCTTTAGGGCTGATTTCTTCCGCTTCTTGTTCAACCTCATTGTTAATATCATCAATAAGTGCCAATCTTAAAAGACCGTATATCTTACCGTCGGAATAACACGTGAAGGAAGGCTATTGGATTCGGCTAATGTCACAACATTGTTTCATCTGCCACTCATATATCCATGCAATTTACCCTGGATTGAATGTCGAAAGTTGTTTGGTGTTTCAATCGCCTTCGTGTGCCTTTTTAGGCACAGTGTGACGTCAATGTGAATGACCTTTGTTAGTTGGTTTACGTATCTTAGCACGTGTATAAGCTGCTAATTTGACATCGTCCGTTGACGTCATGCTTCTGAGCGATTCCTCAACTTTGCGATCTACCGACACGCGTTCCGTTCATCCTCAGCATTCCAAAAACATGTGGACAGTTTACCTTTTAGAGTAAAAATAAATCCGGTCACGCTCGTAATCAGTATGATCATTTTTAACAACAATCCCGAGAGAGATTAGGACCGCTGATGGCACTGGCCGCAGTGTTGCTCCCGCAAAGAGCATCTTGTCTCCAGCAAGGTAAATGTTGCCCCACTCGAATCACCAAAAGAATGCCGGTTTCTGTAGGGCTTCTCCACTATAGAGGAGAATGTTGGTAGCTCAGGTAGCGTAGACGGTCTTTGGTTCGTTCGCCCAGCTCAGTGAACAAACCGAAATGGGTACAATGCAATCACGAGAAGTCAATACTGATGCTTGACACTTTACTGTAAAATCGAATGCATAACCAGTTGCTCTAGTCGGACTTGATAATCTCCCCAAAAGGCGGAAGTGCATGCCATCTAAAAAGACTGTCCAATTATCTGCGGTGTCCAAGAAAACCAGAAGCTTCCCTGTCTCAAGGGACCAAGCAACTCGGCCGACGACCGTAGAAGAATACGTGAAGAACATTAGGGGTTCTAGTGAATTCAGTGGGGCTATTTAGTTTCGGCTCAGGTTAGGTAATACCTGGACAATGGTTGAGGCTAACAAAATGAGTTGGACACTTCTGCTCAACCAGCCCTTAGTCATTTTAGTTACATTCATCATCAGTCATCGTGACGATGCCTTCTGTGAAAAGCCCTCCACGATCGTTGCGGTGGTCGAGAATGTAAGTGTGTCGGTCCCATTTTCACTCTGTATCGATGCGTTAAGTGCCGCATGAAATACCAGCATTCCACTACAGGTTATTACTCAAATTCACCTGTGGTGCTCAACTTCGTCAACAAATAATCATCTCAACGAGTGATACGAGTCCACGGCCTGCGTTCAAAACAGACTAGCCTTGGTAGTGTGTCGAAATATTGGTAGCCAAGGTGAGTCTGTTGGTTGTTGATCTGTTCGCCGAGCGTGGCGACTGACTTGCAAACGTTTCTTCACCATACGAGGAGACGTAGTCAGTACGCAGTTGTGTGGCACTGATGATGTCTCCTCGAATGGTGACGAAACGTTTGCAAGTCAGTAGCCACGCTCGGCGAACATATTGACAACCAACTGACTAGCCTTGTACAATCATCCTACTCGTCAACTCGAGAGCACGCTCAGATGTGTGTACATCAGTCGTCAACTCGAGAGCACGCTCAGATGTGTAGTACAGATGTGTGTACATCACCCGGAGTGAGACACAGCTGCACATTACCTCCGCTGTTCCTGGAATTTGCAGTAGATTGGACGATGCAGCAATATCTGACCACCCGCGAAATGACTAGAATCAGGCGCGAGATAGGTGTATGTATAACATTTTGCGAATTTCTGGTTGCCATCCGTTCAGTGTTTTCCTGTGGATGACAACCTAGTAGGTTTCTAAACTCAGCATGTGGTACCACCAGTTTCGTAGATACATGCTCAAACATCGAAAGGGAAGACTCTACCAATGTGCTTTTGGGTTCAGAGCATTTCCAACCCAACTGAACCAATCAAAGGCTAACAGTACCACCCCATCCGGAGTGACAGGATGAGCACTCAGTCAAAGATTTTGATCAGTGTGGTGGATATTGAAATGATTGGAATGGTTGATTTGCAATGGGTGCCAGATATTCGTGCTTTCAGATTCCCTTTCTGTTACAGTCTATGGCATTAGAGTCAAGTCGCATCCCAGCGGGAGCTAAGAATGACGTCGTTTTGTTTTTTAGCAGCAGAGTTCTTCGGAAAGTCAGCTTGTACAAACGCCTCCGTCTTGTTCAAGCATCCTTTTGTTTGATCACTCTTGTCTCCCAAAGGCAATGTCTCTGTTGTGTTCGACGAGGGATGGAGTGCATCGACAGGCAGAATAAGAACGAAAAAGATTGAGGGCCCAGAAGCTAGGCTTTATCCTCCAAAACCTTGACACTGAGGGCTGAAAACGGGAAAAAGTGATTCAGCAATGAACGATGAAACGCTTGAAAAGCAGAGGAAATATGCAACAGTCCCACAACTTGGAAGTAATTGTCGGTTAATAGAACAGGAGACCACTGCGATTCTCCGGGTGGCGTCCCCACGCACTGCATTCGTTATCACGACTAATATATTGTTTGCTAATCGCCTTTTCTTTACCCTATTTCCCTATCTGTCTGTTCAATTCTCCCCTTTGTAACCAGGGCAAAATCGCCCAGCGCAACATAATCATTCAAAGCACCTATGCGGAACTGACTACTTTGGACTATCTTCGGCTGACAACCCAGTCGGGCATCAACCCTGGCTCGTTGCGACTCTTTAATCAGCATGGTGAATCGGTGACGGAGCGAGGACCAAAGCACAGTCCAATATCTTTGTCGGCCGATAAGCCCACTTTGGTCGGATCGGTCCTGTTCGATCCAGCCTTGGATTGTCAAGATCTGTTGGAGGCTGTTAATAGCCGCTCAAAACCACTTTCAGACCATCTTGACATGGATATTTGCTATACTGGGTTCAACTTGAACTCAGATTCAGGTTAGTCCAATGTTGCTCCATTCATCTGTTACCCCTTTTCTCGCTACCATACTACCTACAAGGCTGACTACTGCACACTACAGGGTTCGCCATCTTAGAGGTAATCAGTTCAGTCTTCATTCCTTACTTGATCTCAACACTGGATGTGTCGCATAAAATGCCTGTTCGTAAATTAAACTGATGTGAGCCTGGAAACAAAATGACCCCTCCCTATGCAATAATCTCCAACCGAATGTGCTGTGCAACGTCCGGTTTATGACACAGGGAATTCAGTTGGATCTTGTTCACATGAGGTGGCGAGAGGTCTCAGTAGTTAGAGCGCGAATTTACTGACCGGAAGGTCTGTGGTTCGAATTCCACCTTTACCTTTCGACTTCTCCTGTCTAGGTTGAAACAACCTGGCAGTATCCCAGCCCTCGTGCCTCCTTGGCGGCTAGGCACCCAAAGGGTGCTACAGCTGAACGATCTTGTTAAGATGGAATTAGTTTGCGGCCGATCGTATAACTCCACTCATGTACATGATTCATATGTTTTGAGCCGGACTGTGAATTCACATGGTTTACAGTGTAATGCGGCAAATCCATGTGCTATGAAAGAAAGGAAATGTCGACGAACGAAACAGTTGGACGAGTTTCCACCGGGACTGTCACCCTTTCAAGAACAGTGTCTAAAAGTTACAAGTATGGCGCGAACGCAGGTCATGGTAAGTCAGTTTCTTTCCAGATTGTCTGATTGAGCGGTTGGAGGTGTAGGCACCTCAGTATGCTTGACATACGCCAGCACTAGGTCCCCCTCCCTCACCCACTCTTTTTCTCTTCTCATCACTGTAGGACTTTTAATACAATCATATATATATACATATGTATATATATTTATATAACTAGACAAACCTTATGGTTGTACGGCAGTGAAGCATCAGTGACAACACTGATGTTGCTGTCCTCGATGATGATGATGATGATACACGCACTACCGATGCATTTTACAAAGCAAGAATTTTATCCTTGCATGGAATGTGAATTCCAATTGCAACGTCGTACCGCCCTTTCGGGAGTTCAAATGGCATTAATCTGTTCACCAGGCTTGGCATCTAGCTAACACATGTTTCGTCACCAAAGAACGAGACATCATTGCACGGTCGAGTGATGTATCCTCGTTGTGTGATGAAGCGTTTGCATACTAGTTCGTCTCTTTACTCCGGTATGCTGACTCCATCCATCAACTTCGTGAAATTTCTGCGGAATGCTACAGCCTTCCTCAAATAACTTAACGTAAAGTGGTTTCCTTGGAATGCCCACTACCGAGTCGTCACTGCAGTACTGTGTAGCTATACGGTAATCAAGATAGCATTGGCTCCCCAGTTCCATGTAAATGTCGTTGCATTGGGCATCATAGTTCCTTTTCACGTACCTTCGAGCCCTGGGATACCATCTGCCCCAAAGCTCCTCAAATGTATGCAGCTGGCAGTTCGCCCGGTACCCCTATCAAGTATAATATTTTCCACACAAGAATCCTGTTACAGCTTTTCAGACTATCGCAGTGGCAAAATTTTAGCTGTTCTCGAGTTCAAGCCTCATTGTTCACTTGATCAGGATGTAATAATCGGAAGTCTACCCGGTGTAGTTGGTAGTGCATAAAAGTGCATTCGATTCCGTCGATCATGGCTCGTTTGTGAGCTTCTGTGCACAGGAGTCGGCCCGGCCACTCACTCTGATAGACCTTGCGCAAGCGTTGTAAATTGGATCCGTCAAATACCTCAATGGGCTGTCTGGGGCTCTATGTTCCGCCGCCATACACTAGTGAATACCTTACAACAACTAGGAAACCGCAACTTTTCAACTGCATGCTCGTGCAGATGCCTCCAAACGCGTTTATTTGGGTGATTCAATACAATGCCTTCCTTGGCGATGCGAACACGCAGTTCTCTATTGATTGCCGAGCCTGTAATGACAAGGTGGCGGAAATCTCCACAACACGCTGTGCCGTGACCGTTCATTTGAATACAGGTTGTCTGTCATTGTGTGGTGAAAGACAGCCATTCCTGACACTTAGATCGAAGCGATATACGTAGATATATCAGTTTTATATATCAACGTCACCCCCCCCCACCAAGCTTCTAGTATTCAGTAAGCGAATCTGTTCCTTTTTGTCTTGTTCTCAGGCGGTCTTTTCTCTCAGCTTCCATGTTGAGTATGATCTTTTGAGCAGGCAAACAACGGTGTTTTTTAGAGTCATCAAAGTTACGCATGTCACCGTGTTTCGCATTTTATCGACGGGGTCCCCGCACTTAATCTAGCCCGCCCTCCCATCTATTTGTCTCTCTACTGTTATTATCAGGGCGGGAACTTCTTTCAACCATGTCCCGTGACCGCACAAACTCAGACTGGCAACCTCGTTTCCAAAGTGGCCTATTTTTGACCGCGCAAATGTACACCAGACTAAGAAGTGCCTGGGTTCGCAAACAGACCAGTATCGCCGCTCAACATCAATCAGACTCCAGTGAGATCCACATGTCAGATGCGTTTGTCGGTTTCGGTGTAACCACGGATTCCTCACCATTCTGGGGTGACCTGGTCGTGTCCTACATCTGGCCACGTATCGTACCCTTGAAGAAGCCTTCTGCACGGCGCTCGACTATCAACAACTGTATTTTGAAAAGTTCCACTGGTCTTCGTTCGTCCGATGATGTTTATCCGGTTTCGGACTTTGGTCATCCTTTGCGTGCTCACTTCCCGACAACTGTATGGACTGAGCCTGTGCACTGTGATCTTGTGATTGCCAACCCATCCGACAAACCTTTGGTGATTCAGCCCTTCCTGCTCGACGCAATCTACACCGTTCCAAAGAATTACTCTCAACGCTGTTTTTCAACCGATCCTTTAGTGTTGTTTTTGCAAACGTTGGGCCTACCGGCTGCACAGGAGACCATGTCCAAAGTAAGGCTAAACGATTGTTGTTTATTCAATGGTGATTGTTTTTCATCTGTCTGCTCGGCTAGCCTGGCAAAGATAACCCCAAAGGGAGACCACCACGACTCTCCTGTGATTGGTTCCCTTAGGAGATCGTTTAGGTTGTGAAACACCGGTTTTTAGAGGTCTTGCGACGTGAGCTCTCCGAAGGAAAGGCCTCTCCCGGGTTAAGGTACTGTATATTGGTGTCCGAAGTTCCCGTGCTTATAATCGTCTTAGAGCTCCTAAGAGTTGTGTCAGTCAGTCGATCGGTCAAAGTAGTTTGCCGGTCATCGTTCAAGGCATTGGGCAGACCATTTACATCGCTTGTTCAGACGTTATAATTCAGCTGAGTTTGGCATATGCTGTCCTGAATTTCAGATGTTTGGAGTTCAGCCCTAGGCATGGCCAAGGATGTGTTCATACCCCCGTGTCTAAGTGTGGCGAACTGTCCGTATGCACATTCTGACGAATAGTGCAAATGCCTACACCTTTGACGAATTTCCTTAAGCCACCATTAACGAGATTGGCTCAATAATCTTTATGGACTTTACTTCGCACAATCCCAATGTACAATGATAAACAAGCCTTAACTGGGCAATCCGCCTTGAAAGTAGCATATGTTTGCCACTAGTATGTCCTGTGGGGATTCTTGCGACGTGCGAGGTGAGCCACGTGAACCTCCAACCAGGAAAGTGCGAATACCCACACCACTCAGCTTGATGCTAGTCGTTTTCATACCGCGTTGTCGTATCATGGCTTATCATTCAGGGGACTTTTTTTCATCAGAGGTTCAGAACGGGAAACTCTGATTTCCCTGCCAGGCAGTGGCTGGGCATGCTTCGTGAGTCGCTGTAGCGATGCTGTTTGATGGCTGAGTGTCCACTTAGGCATGCAATTGCAAGCATATGATATGCCATAATAACCAAAGGTTAGAAGGCACTTGAGTATTTTTTTGATCGAATAAGTCACATTTCGCAACCATAGCTTCAAACTGCTCTCATAGTTGCTGTCGGCCCCATGAGTCACGTAAGCTGGCAAACATTACTGCGTTCTTCAGTTTCTGCAGTATCATGAGTAACCGAGCATCGAACCCAACTTCTCCACCTTAGAGTTTTTGGAGGAACAATAAGGAACGGCAAATTTGGAAGTAAGACTTTGTACCGGAACTGTTGTACTCCACGATGTATCTGCGTCCAAACACCGCCTTTGTTTCCGCTGACTTTGAACCTACCGTTTGGCCGATCCGTTTAGTTGAGTCCAAGGGGGATACAACACTGCGTATAAAGAGATGGCGGTGACCGTTTTGATGTTCTTATGTAGGCTCCCGGTAACCCCATGAGTCTAGTTACAATCAGCCATTCCTCTTTGAAGCCACTCATAGAGTACTTTATGGTAAGCCTCGGTGTGGTTCTTCTATGTGTTGTTACCAAAGCTTTCCCAATGCTAAATGGGACTGAAGATTTAAACCGAAAATGCACATCGGTGATCTGTGTGTACTCTAGGATTCGACACTGAAGAATCGACTCTTGCCATCGGCGACTGATGGTCACCTAATCAGTTGGATCCCGCAGTTGCTCAGCAGGCTGCACAGCGGCGGGCATCGCGCCTAAATCCAAAACTACTGAAGGATCACTGGTGAGCAAGAAGTTGCAAAAGCAGCTTACCGTCATGTTTGCACTCTCCGTCCCAACTACCTATGGTGTTTGGGGCGGCAGTAAAATAAGGAACAAGGTCTAAAAGCAGACGCGAAACGGTAACTGTGGCATTGGTTTGCTCGCATACGAAGGCATCCGACTGACATAATAGAAGCTAATCCTTCAGCTGTAGCACCTTTTCGGTGCTTAGCTGCCGTGCTGTGCGTGCGAAGCATCAAGGCCGAACTACCACCTGGTTTCCCAAGCCTAGACAGAAACAGCCGCAGCACCGAGGTTTTGAGTTCGAACCACGGACTTTCCGGTCATCAAGTTCGCAACTTACCCATTGTGCTACCTCTGCTGACATGCATTCAGCTGGAAGATTAATAAGTGGAACATAAGGAGAGGTAAAATATTCCAATTTGGAACAACTGGAGACATCAGCATTCACATGTTTCCGGTGAACCGTATTATTTTATGGGACGAGTTGGCATGACCACGTGACGCTCAATATGACATGAAAGTGCTTTCTTTCACGTGTGCCGTGGTTGTATGTAGGCCTGGCTACTTTCAGGACGTTCAGATTCAGACCCGGTGATCAGGTTCTTAACTGGAAGTCTTGGCTCAAACGTTCGACCGTATATCGGTGGTGGTTGATGTGTGACTACCGGAATAGTACCAGGGTGCTACTCTTGTTTCAACTCTAAGTTTTGGGGACCGAGAGATCGCCTGTCAGATCCTCATCGACCTACCAGCATTATAGAAAGAGCTCTGCAAGTGTTATGCGGGAATCCTCCCTGTTCAAGTAAATGGCTTGCTCGGGCCAGCGAGTCATTATAGTAGAACCTTGTTCAGTCTCTTCACAATATTCTACGTGGAACGGTTGGTCCAAAACTGTCAAACTTCTGGAATGGTCAAATACCGAATTAGACAACCGAAGATGCTTTGGTGGGTGCTATTAGCATACTCATGTCCAGGAAGAGCAAATCTCCAGAGAGAAAGCTCTCTAGTGGAGTTACGCGATCTAGGCTGGAAATAATGTCGGGATTAAGACCATTCGGTCACTAAACCCAACTGTTGTCCTCAACTGTTGTCATAAGTACATTTTCTTTCTGTCAAGACGTCCCAGTATCTCGAAGAAATCCTAAGCTAGGTTGATAAAACATTCGTGGTTCTCTGCTGAGGATCCGAAATAAACACCTTTGTTTGAATACCAGAAACAAAGTAACCCCAAAAACACTTGGTCGTCCCACAAAGATATCATTTTCGATTCGTCAATCGTTTCACTTCGTCCATGAAGCGTGTCCATCTTTTGGAAATCATCCAACTAATCGATTCGCTCTTTTTCATCATGTTTCACGCCTTCGAAGCCAATAGATCCTCACCAGATCGTGAGATGTTGCTATTTTTCTTTCATCGAATTTGAGATTCACTTTGTTCTTAATATATTTACTTCGCCGTTCCGTACCTAATGTGCTTGAACTTTTCTAGCATCATATGGTCACTCCCTCCGGTCAATTACTGGGTCTTATGTTTAGAGCTAATCATTTGCTATCTCACTTGTACGATTCTTTGTGCTGTCGTGGACATTCACTGTGTAGCAGTTGAGTTCTCCCTTGTTCATCCTCTTCACTCACTCTATTCCACCTTCATCTCAGCTCTCTAGTCTAATTGTCGGGTCATTCAGCATCAGGACTCTGGATACGTCTCTGGCGCACAATTATTCTACTTTGGACCCGGATATTATCGCGCCTGATTGCTGTCCGATTTTGCTTCTCCCGTCGAGGATTGGTCAAGTCACTTTTCGACTAACGTTCACGCCTGACACCGAGACTCAACAGTCGCTTCACCAGGCATACCCCTTTCCTGCGGCATCCACCGCTGCCTCTCACAATCTACTTTTCATCCGCAATAATTTGACAGCACTCGAACCGATTTGGTTGAACGCGTTACAGGGCAAGGCCACCTTAACACTGGGCCTAGTTCGAGCCAAACAAGAGGATAATGCGGTAGACAGCGAGGCAGATGCGTCCTGGTCGGTCCCCGACAGTAACAAACTGAATGCTTCCAGCAGCGTGAGGGTGTTACTCGAAGGTCGGTGGAATCGAACAAAGTTCACCTATTCATACGCCGCACCCGAGTGGACTGATTCAACCAACACAGCGAACGGGGACACGCCGACTCTTGTTTTCGATTTCACCGAGCGCTTATTCTGGCCATTCTGTGAGTTACTTGACAGTGTTTTCTCCCGAAGCAAACCGCTTGCGCGTATGTCCATTAGGTTATTCACGGTTGATCGGCAGATGCATTTTGGAGTCGAACCAATCAGTTTTGGATTTCTTTCGGTACATAAATGTAACGTAGAAATCGTTCAGCTGTAGCATCCTTTCGGTGCCTAACTGCCATACCACTAGAAGGAAGCACGAGGACTGGGATACTGCCAGGTTGCCCAAGCCTAGACAGGGGAAGTCGAGAGACAGTTCAGGTTCGAACCACGGGTCTTCTTGTCAGTAGATTCGCGCGCTAACCACTGAACGATCTCGCCCCAAAGTAACCCAGAGTATCAGGTATTGATGTTTGGAAATTCATCCAATCTCTCCTTATTTTTTCGTTTTGGAAGAATCTGGATGCCTGACTTTTCCTGCACACAGTTCCGTGGTGACAATTATCCTCGTTTTGGTTGCACTCCATTAGACAGTCCATACACACCCCTACACGCAGCGCTGGTGCCGGCGAATTCGTAAACACATCTTACGAAATCCCTTGAACAGGCTTTACGGTGAACTCAACCTACCGTCCATCAAACTCATAAGGGGTTGTTACTGAATTGGGGAACATCCTCATGCTCTCCTCAGCGCTTACCTCTAAGTTTGGTTGCCTTCCTTGATCCTCTCTACCTCGCCTGCTGGTGGCAGTTTCTATCCTGTTATCAGCTCCAGTGTTTGAAGGGCACCTTGCGTTTTCGTTGAGAACTATTGGCACTACCTGGATAAACTTTTTCATTATGAGGAATTTCCACTTTGGCTTTGCTGTATATGATGCTAACCAGAAAGGATGAATTTGTTTCTCTTTCACGGACAACGGATAGGTGCCTGCGTGCAAAGAATTCATCTTGACTATTTCTATAGGCTGACGCATCAATCGGAAGGGCCCACATTCGAAGTTAGAAGCAGGACCAAGTAGTCCAGCGTACAGTAAAACCGCCAGCTAACTGCAATACTTCATGATAGACAGTACACAATGTTTTCCTCGACTGTCAACTGAGCCCATTAACTGGAACAAAGATTATATTCTCGTTTATGCGGTTCAGTGGGCTTGTGAGTTCGTATCACTACCCTTTGTTGCGGCCCAGCAATCGAACCATTTTTGCCAACATGAATCCCCCCCCCAAAAAAAAGACCCTTCTGAAAAGAGACCATTTCCCTGGAGAGTTTTCCGCAGGCTCTTTGATTATCCATAACCTAGCGTGCGATTCCCTTGAAGAGCGCGAAATTCAAGAAAGGCCGTATACTCCTTTACTCATAGCAGTAACTCTTGGGAGATCATTGTTAGCCTCCATACTGCACCAGATACAGCGCTATTCAATACAAATGTTCCAGTCCATGCGGACGTCTTTTTGCGATGCTCTCTGCACACACTTTTCTTCAAAACAACTCACCCTGATGAATGGGCTATCTAAACTCTTCTGGTGGAGGGATGTTATCTAGGTTGTGGCTGATGCTTACTCTCCTGGACTCTCCCTAGAAGGCTGATTTATGAGCTTTACTCTACTCAGCTTGCACTGGTCGAGCACCGCAAGCCCCCCCCAAAAAAAGACCCTTCTGAAAAGAGACCATTTCCCTGGAGAGTTTTCCGCAGGCTCTTTGATTATCCATAACCTAGCGTGCGATTCCCTTGAAGAGCGCGAAATTCAAGAAAGGCCGTATACTCCTTTACTCATAGCAGTAACTCTTGGGAGATCATTGTTAGCCTCCATACTGCACCAGATACAGCGCTATTCAATACAAATGTTCCAGTCCATGCGGACGTCTTTTTGCGATGCTCTCTGCACACACTTTTCTTCAAAACAACTCACCCTGATGAATGGGCTATCTAAACTCTTCTGGTGGAGGGATGTTATCTAGGTTGTGGCTGATGCTTACTCTCCTGGACTCTCCCTAGAAGGCTGATTTATGAGCTTTACTCTACTCAGCTTGCACTGGTCGAGCACCGCAAGGTGATGAGCTGGGTCTCCGCGTGGATTAAAATCCTGCTTTGTTCTGATCAACGGACACCGTGGGCATCTTGCTGCCTCGAATTTCTGGCGCTTTTCGTCCACGACCCCCCTAATTACACGAATTCTGCCAATAGTGGTTAGCTTGCCCATCGGTTCTGTCAACCGATGGCTCCATTCTGTTATCTGTTTATCGTGAAGCAGGACGGGAGAGACACATGGTAGTCAAAACTACTCCACTACAAGCTGTTGAAATTTTGTTCATATTTGCTGTCTGTATTCCAGTTTCAACCGGTAAACCGTGTGTTAGTGATAGCTTAGCTATCGAAAATGAGGCTTGTTAACGCCCTGCGCAGGTCTGTCGGGCTATATATGGCTGGGACTAGTGCTTGGCGCAGCATTGCAGCATATGTGATGAAGCACTACTGGTTGTCAGATTCAGTAGTATTGGCCTGGACCAGAGGTATTCGTTCAACGACCTAATACCTCCGTGATTGGAAACCTCACTCCTCCTGTCTATCATGCGACCTTGGTCTAGTATAAATCCGACAGCCCTTCGAAAGCTGCTCTTTCAGCATCTCCGGTATCCCATTTCGATGAACACCTGTTAGAGATCCCTCCAGCAAACAGATCTCATTTTTTCGATCGACAGAATGCAAGATACATCGGTACATAGTTTGATGGTGGAATAACCTAACAATCAACGGCTATATGTATTGATAATGGTAAGCATTTACAAACTGTTTGTCTATGGTAGAGATGTGATCAGTATGGGACACGAATGCCCCCCCTTCGATTACCACCTTTTCTGTCCTGCGCTCAGCCTCCAATATTTTGATCATGTAATGCCGAATTTAGACGTCGTCAGAAACCGCATAGTCAATTTTGTGCGATACAGCTCTACCGGCACCAGTGTTACAACGAGACAACAATATTTACACCTGAATTTTGCCATATTATCTACCCTTTATTAGCGGACTCATCGAGTTCACAAGTATGCACACGTGACACTCTAGATCGATAAAGCTCCATCCGCCATATGACGGACTGGTCAAGCACTAGTATCCATACATATTATTGTGTACTTGTAGCTGTCAGTCTGATATACACTCAACTTGTTGTTTTACGCTTTTCGTAGGCACTGAGGACAAAGATCCACTATTCGTCTACTCTGTTCCCGAGTCAGACTCATTGCCGGATCGGCCTGATTTTCATCCTCTCGGTGCCATGCTCCATTCTCTGGAACAACGAGGCGAAATGCTTGCCGGTGTATCCATACGACGACTGGTGGTTCTGATCAATACGGGTGATGTGCCTATCAACCTGAACCTAGTGTCTATCGGTCCGGATGATTCTGAGATCTCCTCTAAGAGATTCTTCGAACAGATATATGCTAGACTGGAATCAGGCCAGCTAACTTGCTCTCACGCTGGTTTCCGCGTGACACCTTGTATCCTCCCTAAAGATCAGATCACTGACTACTATCCGCTGGAAAAAGAAAGCAGAAGCGGTGAACACAGCAACCTATCTACTCCTTACGTGCTTCAACCTGGTGCCCATCTTTCACTGGAGTTGCGACATAACCCGGATTTCACACATACATCATTCGCTGCTCATCTGTGGATCGCAGCCCATCCACAGTCATCCGGGCCTGTGGGAAAGGAACCTGATTCACCGAAGTGGACCTTATGCAGTAATTTATCGTCAAATCGACCGCTTTCCGATTGTGATCAATTTAACTCAACTCGACAATCATTCCTCCGGGTCACTGCTACGTTCCCTCGACCTTTTCTATACACTTGCTTGAATGCACTTCCTAGACCGTGGATCGAAAACCTCATGTGGTAGGTTTAAGTCTAGACTCTACAACGTCTTGTCATACACTGGTCGTTATGAATTCGTTATGTACAGTTTACTGGTCTCATCTGTGGTTGTGAAAGCTCTGTGTTTGAAGTCGCGTTTACGCGGCATAATGAAATCCGGTGAAATATGGTAACCACTCTTTCGATCGGCAAGGCCATGATAAACCCTTACCAACTTGCGACATGTCACCGTCAACACTGCTGCCTAACCTCTACTGTTCTACAGATCAGAAGCTTGACTGATTGGTACCGAATAGCCTAGAAAGTTATCAGCGCTTCACTACCATTGCGGTGGCCCGTTGGGCAGTGCCGAGGCACGTCAGGTAGTTGTTAGAGTTATTTGTACGGTGTACACTAGACTGCTTAAGACACACAGTTGGTCAACAGCAATCTGCCGTGCACAGCTTTCTCCGTCCAGTTATGTGAAGGGTGTAACCAGCCTAAAAGTTATCATCGTTTGCGAAAAAGTGTGAAATTCCGATTCAGTCATGTTGACAGCTGTCGTCTTCGGGAATAGGTTTTTCGTGACAAAGATCTGAATCGTGCGACTAATGGTGCTCACCTTTAACGCGCGGCCCCCTCGACTACTACGTTGTGTAGAAATTCGGACGACCTGATATTAGTGGACTCGTTAGTCCATGGTGGTGACCTCGGCACTTAAACGCTTTCTCATGATTGTCTGCACCCTCGGTCAATAGAACTGGCGTACTCTAGCACACAGCTCATAACTCTCTAGAATTGCGATCTTACTTAGCAAGTCCTCCTGAGACACTTTCAGACCGTTGTCTTGATAGTTCGAATAATTATATTGCTGGCCTTAGTCCTTTTAAGGAATCCAGTACTTATTGGACCGCTGTCCAGATGCACAGTGCATTTGACTATTCCTATCCAGAACACAGCGCTAGTGTACCACACTCTTTTTCTGTCCGTCAAATCTTCCACATTCATCCTCCAAACGTCATGCTATTCTGGCCAAGGAGTTCGGTGCTGCTCAAAAGGCACCTGCTGTGAGCAGCCTCACCAGGAGGAGACAGTAACATCCTACTCTCTGTGCTCTTGGGTTAGGTTGTGACTCCTGCAGCCTAGCAGACTATCGAGTTATCGGCTCCGGGCAGGGTCCTAAAACAAAGCCCTACTCTCCGCTGCCTCGCTAGTCATACTTTTGAGTTAGAGACTTGAGGCAGAGTCCCTGAACAAAACCCTACATTCTCCCACTGCCTCGTGTGTCGAACTTTTGAGTCAAAGACTCAAGGTTGGTTTCCTCAACCAAACCCCCCTCCTCTGCCTGGGCGACCGGAAAGTATCATTTGCTCGCACAGTTCTGTGTCCACCGATATCCCTCCACAATCTCCTGCCACACAAGCAAACGTCGTTGGGTCATTTGACTGTCAGTTATCTGAGTGAAGGGCCTTATGTTCCTCGCTGCTTATTAACAATAAACAAAATATCACCTTTCTAAATCCTTGAGATCCTTTCTATAAAGGAGCTTTACATGTCTGTACTCCATGTCGAATCGGCAGGCAGTCAATACTCGGTGAAACCTTGAACTCTCTTAAAATTGATGTATGCTGTGTCTCCGAAACACCCATACAAAACTCGAGCGTGGTTATGCATCTCAGAATGCCAGGGACGAACTTAGCTCTTTCACATTTCTGGTGATTCAGAAGCGATGACTCGTGGAAAATGTGGAGTGGGAATTGTACTCAGTCTCAGAGTTGAACAGTTATCCGCGGAAACCAAACTGGGTCCCATCAGATTCTCGAACCAGCGACCAACAATGTATTCCTTGATGCGAAAGCTGCCTTTGATTCTATGATCCGCCAGGCCCGAGAGTGTCCCCCATAAATTCTTGGCCCTCCTTAAGGCGCTGTACGCCAACTATCGCGGCTGTGTCAGTCTATGGGTAGCTTCCGATATAGAAGGGGCATGTCGATAGTTCTTCCTGTCTTCAAAAAAGATGCCCGAACTCTGTGTGACAGTCACTGTGGCACCAGTTTGGTAGCTGTGGCATCGTAGGTGCTCTTTGGCCTTATCCTCCTAAGGTTGGCTGAATACAGCCGCTGTACGCCAACTCCCCCAGACACATGAAGGTCTACGGGTAGCTGTCACGTGAGTTCAATACATCCACTGGTGTCAGACAGCGCTGCCCTCTTTCGCTTTTCCTCTTTAACTTCGTCACTGATATGACTATGGAACACTCAGTTTCGGACTCTAATGCCTTTGGGGTCGAAATGTCACCGGAGCCTCCGCTCATGGATATCAAGAATACAGAGGGCATAGCTCTTCCTGGATCTGATGCCGTGGTGATGCAAACAATGTTAAATAATCTAAATAATTTCGCCTCGCTGTTCGGCATGCGCTTCCCATCTGGGAAGTGTAAAGTGCTGCTGCAAGACTAGGTAGGCTCGAACCCCAGCCTCTTACCTGCAGATGAGCCGCTTGAGGTAGTAAACAAGTTTGTTTACCTCGGCAGCTGTATCAGTTCCAGGACAGCCAGAACAGCTTTTGTGGACCTGCGCCACTTGTGGCGTGGGTGTGACATCAACTTGTCCGTCAGTGGTCGAGTTTATAAAGCTGCGGTGCGATCCATATTGCTACATTGGTCAGTAATCTGGCCGCTGCGTGCTGAGGACTTTCAGTGTTTGGTCATCGATGTCTTCGGAGCATTGTTCGAGTCTGGTGGGGGAACACCGGATCAGCAGTGTTGAAATACGTCGAATGGTATTCGGGAGAAATGACGCACCCACGATGATGAACTGGTTACACTGGATAGGTTGTACTGGCTTGGCCACATGCTCCGTATGATCGAAAGATTCTTTTTTTCAGAACCACGTGAAGGGTGGAAACGAGCAAGGGAAGGTCAGATACTGACTTGGCAACGAAGTGAAAAAAACAATTACCAGCAAACGAAGCTGCACCGGTCATTGCCGTCTCTCTGGATCGGAATCTCAAGACGGGCCAGATCAATAGTTGAAGACATTGTGAGACACCTCCCAGTCGCGCCCTCAATGGCGCTTGTGCATCCAAGCTATTGCCTTCAATGCGTAGTTTTCTTCCCAATCCTCCCACCTAAAAGCCCACTGTGAGACATATATTTAAGCACCAGTGTATCAGATCCCACCTCCAATGCGCAGCTACCTACTCCACCTCCCCAAATCACTGGTGGACAAAGCTGTGGCAGCTACCACCACTAGGCGATAAGTACGCGGTCCTTACAACTGTTAATGATGATGATGATGGTGGCGTTGTAAGGACAACCATGTCATACCTCCGTAGTGGAGGGCACAGTCGCTGTGCCAGCTCTCAGATCAGCATGCTCATTGCCCCGGGTGCGTGCTTCCAAGCGACAGCAGCTTCGCGATCCATCACAAGTCGACGCAAACCAACGGTCAGACGCACAATATCCGGAGACCAGCCGCTCTGAATAGCCGAACATCAAGTGGATTGGACGAATGTGTCGCGATCCGGCTCCGAACCAGCCAAAGGCATACCTCGATTAATCAGAACTTGAGCCTATCAGGACCCAGCATTTGCAGCTTGGCTGTTCTAGCCCCATAATGAAGATTCTAGCGCGACCTTGTGAAGACTTCTCTGATCACCTTGTGGAATGCGGTTGGAACAAACGTTGATCTCCATTTAAGACTAACTCATTTTGCTATACCATAGTGTGTGTGGGACAACACTCCTCGTAGTTTTAGTAATGCTTGCAGTACACAACTGTCGTAAGGGTTTGGGATGATTCCGTTTTTTTATTTGTTTCTTTGGAGCGTACTGAGAATGGACCCATCATTTTCAAAAAGGATGCCTCTCAATTAGACCAACCAGAAATCCGAAGGTTTGCTGGCCGAAATTAGGTAACCAATGGTTCTCAAAACTATGCTTGTTTGAGTACTTGGAAATGACTAGTGAAGTACCCACACCACTCTACAATGTGACAATGAGGGAACACGTAATCTCCGGAAACCCAACGTCGTTCGTAACGGTTTCCAGTTATATTTCCCGTCTGTATTCGGATACGAAGACACCATCCTGAACAGGATAGCTCTGTCCGGAAGCAGAGTATTTGATTAACCCAGGACACATTCAGAGCCATTTTAGTAAATGCCATAAGACAGGATGAGCTCGAGAGAACTCAGTGGCCAAAGTGCCAGCCTATGGATTGGAAGTCCCTGGTTTCGAACCGACCTCAGCGGTCCGTGGTTCGAACCCGACCTCAGCATCTCGACTGCATCCTTCTAAGCCTGGGCAACCTGGCACAATTTTTCATTTAACATTGTACGTTTTCAGTTCTTTTATTACCATTCCTTTTATAATCAAGTGAGCGGTATTCCTCCAAATTCTCACTAGTGACGTACACACAGACTGTTCAGAAACCTCTTTTACAGGGCATTATGAATTTGGAACTCAAGTAATCCGAGCGTTTGTGTGTGAGCTATCTCATTTGTCACCTCATATACAGGACGTGTCATCGACATTCTGATACTCGTCTACCACCTCAAATACATCGATCAATTCGTTTCATTTGGTCGTTTATTTTGCTGGGCGCTGTATCAACTTGTTTGTGTGTCGTCTTACGTGACATCAGCGGAGTATGACAGACCCTGACAGGTCGCCACATGCTGTGATGCTGACAAGCGTTGTTCGGTTGTGTCGAGCTTAGTTACCGGCTAAGTGGCATTGACATCTGTGCACTGTACTGACTCAACAGTCCTGCCGAATCCAGTCACTAATGTATTGCATGCTAGCCAACACTCCGCGCAGCCCGACTCTGCATTAGCAGGACCTTAAGACAACATTTTACTTCCCAGAACCTTGCTGCACTCTCGATTTTATAGGATACAAGAACTTCGATGGAACTAAATACTTCGGTAGAACATCGGAACTCTGTGTGTTTATAAAGAGTGTGCCCAGTTATGGTGAAGGTGCTTTATAAGTAAATACTCAAACATAATATGATATGATATTTTCACCAATACCCTAACCGAGAAGGCCGTGTTCCCGTCGATTGGGGAATATGCCGTAGATCACAGGGAACATTCTCTGAGGGCCTACTGTTGGCGCTACTCAGGTTTGGATCACGCGATACCAGCTGCGCGTGATCGGAAGATTTTGACGTCCAAGTGTAAGTTGATCACACCGCGGACTCGAATCACTCTGGTGGTTAGTCAGATTCGCACTACTACTAATTCCCATTACGGATGAGACAGCCGTGTAGTTCTTCCAGGATTTTGAGCAAATGATGACATGACAGCAAAATGAAATCCATATTTTTACTAGGAAGTCCTTATCGAAAAACTTCATCTAGTGCAACATGCAGATAGTATTAGTCCTAATTCAATAGAGCTACTCATGCACACCAGTCTCTCTATTTTCCCCATTGATTATGCTTTCAGGACCCCGATTCTCCTGCTCTTCTTGCTGAATCTGGTTGCCGTCCTCCTGATGGGCTTTATAGATGGTTCAAAGATTTGTGCGAGCCACCTAAAGTGCCGACTGGAAATCGATCGTTTCAACTCGACACCTGATCCTGTTCATGTGTTTAGCTTTGACCGTCTGACCAATGATACAAGTTCTCCATCTTCCGGTCCGATCGACTCCAGCCCTATCGATAGCCCACAACCTAAGCGTGTCAGTGAAGCAAATGACAGACAGCAGAGCGGAAAGAAGTGTTTGACAACGCAGTCTGCAGTACCACCTGTACAGTCGCACGACCCGGTCACTCCTGGTGTATCGACGCCGTTTTGGCAATTCACAGGTTCATTATCCCGGATCAGCTACTCGACCGGTCGAAACTTGGTAGCCTTCATTTTGTCTGCCAAGAGCTCTGTGCTCTTTTTAGTACAACAGATCTCCTCTGTCGTCCTATCAAAAACGAGAATATCTTCCGCTGTCACAGAATTGTCTTCTGGTTCAAAAAAGTTGAAGAAGGTTGGGTCCGGTCCAGATGCCCCCGCCTCCAGTTCAGCTACCCCGCAAATTGACGATACTGTCGGCGAGTCTGACGGAGACGGAGGGAAGATTAGTCGCCACAGTGCTGCAAAGGTGAGGATCATTTAGACAGGGTTAATGAGTATTTTCAGAACGTGATTATTATGATATGCTCAGAGTTAACTTGGTGACTGGTCAGGTTAAAAAGAAACCCCGAGACCCTTGCGATAAACTTCTTGTGTTAGCTCCATCCCGCTCAGCTGATTTGGTATCATAGAAACTGGCTTCAACATGACAAGTCTGTAATAAATTGACCCAATGTGTAATGTTATTATTATCCATTCGGTAGTTGGGATGCACATTTTTCTGGAAAAAAATAGCACATTACACTCCGTGCCTATCATTGCCAACCCCAATGCAAATCGAACAATGACGAACCGGGCAAGAAGATTCCTCGACTGAGTGTCTTGATGGTTTCTGCTGAAGACATTTTCGGTTTCAAAAAACCGTTTCGAGATGGTTTCCCACACGATACCTAAATCTGTCTTCGTAAAACTGGATGTTTCTTTCCTCGTTTCAATTCTAAGCTTTTTTCTACCGTTTCAAACCTACCACCACTTTTATGGCGCGGTTCACATTTAACCTCGTTTTACCTTCATGGGGGCTTCGATCTAGAGTTGTATGTCCACTTTCTATCACAATTCCCTCCATCACGTTAACAAAATGCTTGTTTTGTTCACCACACACTTTCTTCTCTCCTTCGTCTGCGTCATTTTTTGCAGTCGCTTGCAGCCAAGTCCGCCGGCCCACGTTCAATCCAAACCAAGCAGTTGAATCCGGACGAGGTCAAGCCCAGTCGCTGTAGCCGGTTCGTTTGTTTGTCATTTCCATGACTTTGTTTCCAACTTCATGTAATGCTTTCCATCCATTCTGGACCCTAGCCTATTGTTGACGAATGAGTGTACTTGGTTCGTCGGTTCGCATTTCTCATTGGTCACTATGCTCCGTGTGCTCTCCGCAGCAGTTTCCATTTCCTACGTGGTATGCACGTGTGATTCTAGCTCAGCTCAACCAGATCGTACGTTCACTTCGAATTGTCGAGAAGAATGCAAACGGAAACTTTCAATTTCTGACTGACCTACGTCAGTTTTGTCGAATCGATCGCAGCACACTCATTTTGACCTGGTATTCGGATTTTATGTGTACGTGACACGTGTGAATTTCGTGTTTGATTTCGTTCCAACAAGCACACACTTACGTATGCTGTCATATGTGGTCTGGCTTGCCTCTACTTTTTCATTGGACATTTGAAGTTTTGGCAGCGATTGTCAGAATGTGAAACATTTCTCGATTACCATTTGATTGTTCGGAGATGGTAATCTCACCTATGCCCATTCATTTACACGATTTTCACTCATCCATCGCAACAATCGCTAGTCGCTGCGTTTGCCGCTTTGAAAGCCTTTGTACTTTGTTCGCTTGGTGCTCGACGGGGAGTTAGCTACACACATGCACGCCTGGTGGGGACTTAATGGATGAGGCATATCTGAAGATTTGAGTATGCATGCTGTGATGCGGTTTGACTGTGAGTCGGCACTTTTGGGTCGTATTCCCGGTTTAGTTCCAGAAACAGCGGAGTCTCAGTAAAAGGTCACCACCTGAATTGTTCACATTGGCCAGCTAAAATCTAGTGTCATTTCCCTGGAGAGGCCCAATGTAGTAAACTCCCCTTTCACACCGATCCACATGAAAGACTACCACAAGGGGAATTCGGCCTCTCCTTGGGGTGCCGCATGCCAGTTTGTTGCTGATGGAGATGTGGCTATATATTCGAATTGATCTCTCATTTCTGTGGAGGTCGAGGTAGCCCCGCAGTGAGCTCAGTCGCTACTCTCCTCTCTCTTATCTTTAGGAGAAGTGAGGCCAGTCGCGGGAATATTACTTCGGAATCTGTCAAACCTCTAATTCGTAAGAAAAAAGCCCCCAAACCGGACCCAACTAATCCCGTGGATTCCAGGAGCTTTTATCGGGACGGAGACTCGGACACTGGCAATGACACATCACCCATCAGTAACTTGCGTGGGTCGGCCGCACAGGGACAGTCAGATAATCCTGACACTCCAATGACCGAGGCACGAATAGCAGCTGCTGTGCGAGCGACGAGGAAATTGGCGGAGGATTTAAATTCCCAAGCCCGTAAGAAGTTCACACAAAACAAGCAGAATACGCGTCCCAAGTTCAACGCATGCACATCTTCAGCATCTTCCTCATCCGGACCAGACCACGATAATTCCAAAGTTCCTCCGATAAGCTTGCCACGGAACAGGTCCACCCGGGTTCCGAACATGGCGAAAACAAAGCCGAAAAGTTTACGCACCAGTGGGATCGCCCCCCACTTTGAACCAATGAGGTAAGTTTAGTCCTTGGTTACCCTAGGGCCTGGGCGTCTTCCCGCGTAACTAACTCTCATCCGCACAACTTTATTGGTGCCAGATCTAGATAGCCCTATTTCAGTTCGAACTGAGCGCAAATTCTATAATGAATAACCTTTGAATGGTATTGAACTGTCACTGTTATGTTCACTCGCACGCAAATCCCGCAAGCCTAGAGAGTTTGCGAAAGCCTAGTCAGACGGATAACTTGCTTCGTAAGCAACGACAACAACCACTGGGTACCACCAATTTTCATGTACAGCAATCGAGGTGAACTATCTGCCCATCGAACGCCAAGCCTCGAGAAACAGGTTACCGCTTTACCTGATGACTAAACTGACGGGTTTCACAATCAGATGAGCCAGGTATTGCGGGAACCTTCCAGATGCCTTCTTTGTACAGCTAAAGGGATACAAAAGTTTTAGCAGCAAAACCAGACACATTCTGAAGATTCAGGGCATGTCTCGCATGATTGCTCTTTATAGACGATCTTACGTCTGAAAATAGGGGTACCCGGCGAACTGTTGCGTTCTGATTTTGTTGATGTCGGCTTACTGAAAGTAATAACGTTGAGTGACTTATCGTTTAGACAAATACCGCTACGAAGGCTCTCACTGCCTAGCTCCTTCGCCACTTTGTTTAGTAGAAACACATGCGAACGCCCAGTGACCCAGTACAGACAAATTTTAAGCAGAAAATAGTGTATAGACCAGGTGCGGCGACATGGACCAAGTGGTTAGAGCGCGAATTTACTGATCGGAAGGTTCGTGGTTCGAACCCGACCTTTGCCTCTCGACTTCCCCTCTCTAGTTTTAGGCAATCTGGCAGTATCCGAGCCCTCGTGCTTCCTTCTGGTGACGAGGCAGCTGGGTACCGAAAGAGTGCTACAGGCCATCTGTTCATTTTCCCGCGAATCATTGAGTACCAGAACAGATACCAACGACTCGAGGTCGATTCATGTACATCATGTCGCCTACTTTTTCTTGCTGCTCTGCACTTTATTTCAGGTTGCCACCACAAACTACTTTACCAATTTAGTTAGGTTATGGATTGCTGTGGGTTATTTGTTCTTATTTTGGACCGCCAGTAGGGCCTCCGTAACAAAGACTCTAATCGACAACTATAGTCAACTACACGCAGTAGCAGAGAACTACGTGACTGGTGTCTCATGCCAATCGATTTCGCCCACGTGACCTGACCTCTGAATGTTTGTGCTTTCGGGTTGTCGTTCAGTCCGCTTTCTGTCACATCACAGCCGATAAGCTGTTACTGAAATATCTGCGCGCAGCGCGTCTCGAACAGTAAATTTTGCTCGCGCAATACCGTTATTTATCAACATCAGGATTATGGAGGTGTTCACACATTCTTCAGCACAATACTGATCTAGCTTATCAAACTGACCAGCAGAATATTAGTCTTTGTACCGTAACCGCTGTCTACCTCCCCCCTTCTCCCACGTTCTCAACCCTTCCTCCGTATAGTGACCAACCGAACTCGAATATCTGCAGTCGGAAAGCCCAACTCCATCCGGCATCCCAATACAGATGTATGTTTTTTTCAACTGTTTTCTCATGCTGTTGTCTTTTCATCCCATTCATTTTGCTCCACTTTATATCACATCTTGATATCTCTGTGATCAGTCGGTTGTGTGAACTTTCATGAATCCTTGTCTATTCGGCTAGTCTCTTTGATGTACTCCAGACCAGTATGTACTGGGTCTTTTCTACCCCGGCCTTTATCTCGTAATGGCTCGAGAAACTGAATTACTCGGCTGTCGTATCGGTTTCTGGTACTTTTTCCAGTCATCCCAGGCTCTTGTCCTCGTGTTCATTATTAATACTTAATAATTCTTGGTTCTTATTAAGTAGCTGGCTGACTGTGACGATTGGTGTTGATCATTTTCACTGTCTCACCAAACCATGGTGTATCAATAAGACTCAGTGCTCAGGATGATTCACACGTCGAATGTGTGCTCAAACCTAATCATGAGCAGTCGGGATGCTGGAGTTTGATTCGAAACACGGACCTTCTGTCAGTTAGTTTACGCATTAACCATGGACTCGGGCAAATCAGCAAAAAGTTATGCCCATTATGTTCGAATTATCTGAACTCTCCTTAGTAGTACCAACATTATTATTACTGTTGTTGGTGACAAGGAACTAGCCAAATATTCCCTTTTTAGACAGCCATTCTCTTTAAGGTTGCCGCCAAAAACCATACTCAACTTTTCCTGAGAGGTGATCCCTGAATAGCTTTTATCACTGTTGTATTGCTATTGTATCTCTGGCTAATTTGCAAACTTTCAAACTCCACCGCAAGTTCCCCACCCTCGAAGTCTTACGACACGTACAACCAGAGTGGCTCATCCTTAATTGCGAGTTTTTACTCTTTTCTACTTCACTGCAGTTCGCTGCATCGGTTATCCACCATCGCCTCACGTCAATTTATTCCGGCCTTCATTGGATGGATTTCACTACAGAATACTTTCACCAGAATACGGTTTCTGTTGGCCAGTTCCTCAGGATGCCAGCATTCCGACACATTCGCTTTCGGCCGCAAGGGACGGAATGTCTTTCTCTCCACTCCACACGCCCTGGGATGAAGCAGTCGCGGATGTGCACAGTATTTGGGAACACGAGACTTCCGAGTGGATGGACGATCCAGTCGCAGTACGCACCAGTCCCGACAAAGGTTAGTCAATTGTGTTTCTGCAACTGTGACGTTTGTCCTCTCACACTACCACCGGCGATCAGATTCTAACAGACGTAGGGAGCACATCCCGATTGTCGTACCAAATGTGCCCTGGGATTCTGCCTTGACCAGCATAGTTCCTATTCCTCAAAACGGCCCATTGGTTGAGACGCGAAGGTCCGTGGCTCGAACCTAACCCCGGCATCTCGACTGTTCCCATGTGGACTCGGGCAACCTTGTGGTTCTGTTGGATGGTATAGCAGCTATACGCTGAAAGAGTGCTACAGCTGAACGATTATTTGGTCATTTTATTCCTTGACGAGCAAGCCCTTCAGTGCGCAGTTGGGTGTGCACTGATGATGCCTTCTCGTTTGGTATCCGAGTAACCAATATTTCAACCCATTACCAGCAAACAAATATGTTTTTAACAGCATAAATGACCGGCTCTTCACCGTGTATTAGTAAGTGATTCGAAATTATTCAGTATCGGGCGTGTCGGTTCCAGTTGAAGCTGTTTAGAACGCCCGGCTACCACTGGATTTCCATTTCTTTTTGGCACATAAGATATGCGATACGGTGTTTGGCAGTCACCTATGATGTGGAATCGTCTGTCTCTCTCGCGTTGAGCACACCTTCCAATATCTGTCTTCTTGGCGGAGAAAGTGTTGTACTGACTTTATAACCGGTAGCACAGAAGTACCAGTAGCCCTTTAGGTAATTGATCAGGTGGCTGTTGATCTGTTCCAACGCATTACCAGTAGCTCTTTTATCAGGTCAACATCTACAATTCAATTAACTAACGGCAGGTACTACTGATGAGGCATGCGAGTTGCATGTGGTTTCCTCGTAGCTCCGCCCCGCGTCTGATGAATGGTGGGGTTTATTGAGAAACCTGTGGAACTGCTTTTCACCGTTCGCTTACAAATGCGTGATAGGCAATGAGTAACCACGAAAGTTCAAGAAGACGCGTAAGGATGTTCAACTTTTAAAAATAAGGCGCATATCAGATGTTTACTTTCCCGTCCAATAGTTTGTGACCGTTTAGTTGGCGTTTGCTAGTAAACGACTTCGGGGCGAAGGGCTTTTCTCTTTATCAGATCAATATTCAGAAGTCAATTACCTATTCCTCGCCGTTAGCGCGGTTTCACTTCTATCGTCTGATTCCTTGCACTTCGGATCGGAGAACTGAACTTGAACCTTCAAAACCTCTCGCAATTACAAGCAAAAACGCCCGTTAAGCTTCTAGGTTGGGTGAAACCTACCAAATAATAGCCCGAAAAGAAACATGGTCATCCAGTCTTTCCAGTAAAGCTTTGATCAAATAATGTTATATCTGCTGATTCGCCGGTCTGTGGTATCTGCTGCTGACCCGCTCCAGTGCCTAGTGTCGGAGAGAAAAAGACTCACGGAAGGGAACACAATAGCTATATTCCAAAAAAAAAGTGGTCGCGAGAGTGCGAGTGCGAAAAGTACAACGGCCTCAAGCTTTTTATTAGAAGGACACTGTCTGAACTTGGTCCGATGCTGACGCACACGGTCTGGCTGTGACGTGCTGCATATTGCGGAGGCGTTGTCTGTCCTTGATCAACGCTGACTCGCGCTGTCTGGCTTTGATGCAAGGCTGTGACGCGCTGCATATTGAGGGGGCGTTGTCTGTCTGGTCAACACCCAGCGGAGCTGAGAGTCTCCGTAGGTTCCGGGCATTCAGTGGTTGCTTTCAGGAAGCTGACCTTCCTGATACCTCCCCCTTCTGAACGTTCAACATAAG